CTAATAATATTATGAATATAAAAATTTTAAAACTCTTATTATGAATTATTATTACTACATTTATTAATATTTAGTCTTAATTATTATTTTAAACTTAACTAATTATTATGAAGCAATATTTCCTTGGTATATGCTTGGCTATATACCAAGCAAATATTAACTTCATTAATTTTTATATTTCTTCTGCCTTTGCATCGTAAAATTTTAATTTTTTTTAACATTTTTTCATTATTAAGAATATTAAAATTAAGTTATTATGTAAAAATTTATATTATTAAATAAAAACTAAAACAACATTTAACATTGCTTTTATTGAACCAGAAAAAGTTAGTATCTTTTTAAAAAACTTTTAAATATAACAGATATTCTGACTTTCTTACTTTTTCGAAGCTGTTATGGTAATATTAACATAAATGACTTCAAAATTCACACTTTTTTAGTTTTATTTAATTGTTTAAACCACTTAAAATAACATTTAACTATATATTAATTTTAAATCACTTTCCATAAGGAGTTAACTTCTTTATAATTTGATTTCGGTAATTTAATAAATATGGAGAAGCGAAACTAAAAAAGAAAAATGTAGTTTTATTATTAAATAGTTAATATGTAATATATATATATATATGATCTATATAATATAACAGGTGTAGTAAAAATAAATCCTTTATGATTGCATGAAATTGAGGGTTTATTTAACATAGTTAAAATAATCCGATTTAGGTCAAATATGGATGTTTTGTTCAATAATTTGTTGACATTTTTAAAGTAATTTCATTATGCCTCTCTCATAAAAGTCCACGTCCCTATTGGCAAAAAATCAAAACAGTCGATTTTTACAAACCTCAATTGAAGCAAATTTTTCACTAGAAAATCACGACAGATTTCTGCCAGATTTGGACTATAAGATGGATACATAACCAACCAAACTCCCGAAACTTATCATTATCGATGTAAGTGGCCTGACGTTGTCCTAATGAAACATAATTCCTTTGCTATTGTCGAAAGCTATCTGTAGCTGGGGGATTGATTCCTTCGGACAATACAGATCCAATTGTTGACAGTTATGCTTCGAGCTAAGAGTTTTGCCATATGGAAGCAGGTGATAATTTATGATTTCTTGACAATCTCACGAAACACACAGCAAAATCTTCCTGGCCGTCAATCCTACCTTGATCGCCGTTTCAGTCGGCTCATGTAAGTGATCAGTAACTACTTTTTACCATCATTCCGCTTCAGAAAAGAAACGATGCAATTTGGTTGCGATTCAGCAGCGACTCGCAGATGGTAATTCGGTACCCATACATCGAACTTCTTTTTGTATCAAATCTTTTTCAAATGGTTTCAAATGATTTTTCGTACAATCTTTAGTTCTAGATCAAACGAAAGAGTCCTTACATGACAATGAAGCTGTCGGACTCGACAGTTTCCATGACTTTATCAACATTTCCGACAACTGGGCTTTCGGTACATTATGTATCTTTGACAACGATTCCTGAACACGCATGATAGTCTGTTACAGCGTTAGGACCATGAACACTATTCACATTTTCAGCCGCCTGTCTAACCTTGCGTTTTCGTCTTTCTCAAAGAAAAACTGTAAAATGGCGTATTTTTTCTTTGCTGGTGTTCATTTTTGACGCTCGCGCAAATATAACTGAATCAACCAATTACTAAACTGTCAAAAAATGTATTATTACGAAATCTTGTCTTTTTTGTCTTTGGCATAACCCGATAGAACTTCTATAACGCGATATACAGACAACTTAAAGCACCTATTGAGAAAATAATTGATTTCTTTTCACTACACTTAATATTTATATGGTACATATATATATATAATAAATTAAGGCTTAAAAATTGATCATTTTTAAATAAAAATTATTACAATAATCTTTTGACTAACATCGAAGTTAGCATTTAGAGATATATATTAAGCTATTTAAATTATATTTCTAGATAAAATATTTGTGTTTCCTTAAAGTCTTAAATATTAGTATGTATTGTGCAAATTATTTAAATTATTTGTTTTGAATAAGAATCAATAGAATATTTTTGTTCTAATAAAACTGGGAAGAACCGCAGAAAGGGCGCAAACCACAAAAACTACTTAAAAAAATAATATCTTTTACGCTGTTGATTTTTTATTTTATAAATTAAGAATTTTTTTATTTTATTTTAAATATGAACCAAAAAATAATAAAAAAAACTGAATTCTCATAAAATTCACAATAGCTCAACTGACAAATTTCAAAATATTTGCAAGCTCTAACAACTCCATCATCCAACAAGTACATCATGAACACGATGACTGCAGGATAGGAAAGTTCTCCATTTAACCACAACAACAGCAGAATATTATTTAGTTTAATGAAGCTTATAATGTCTGACAGTACAGTGGATGTGCTACAGTAATGCTTGGCACTGTTGCTTGGAGTCAAAAATGCCGCCGTTGCTGCTGCTGCTGTTGCTGTTACTGATGATGATTCCATTTCTTCAGCAAGATTCATATACATTTTACAATTTGTAAGAAAACCTCCAAACCACATAGCAGCAGAAGTACCAACAGCAACAGCCACAGCTACAAAAACAGTAACGACAATAAAATCATCCTAACCAGAACTGGCAAATTTGATTCCCACAATTTTGCGAATGTTCGCATTGACTGCGTTGGCTAATGTGAACGCTTCTTCCTTTACTATGTGTCGAGCTGTTAGCAGTTTTTGGCGCTGGAGCGGATAAGCTATGTTGTGTTTGCTGTTGTTGTTGTTGTTGCCAGCGTTGTCGTTTGTTGTGTTCCAGTAATTTTTATTTTAATAAATTTTTATCATATTTCTCTATTTAATTCTTTTTTTCTTTTGATTTGCTGCTGTGCAATGACTGCAACAAACAGAAACCAGTGCCGGGAACAACTGCAGCGACCCATAAAATTATGAATTATTTGTACGCTAAAATGAGCAAGTTAAGTATCACAAAATACCGCTTTTGATGTCTCGTAGACAAACTTACTTATGGCAGCAGTCAGCGTGTGCAGCAAAGTCTCAGGTAGTGTCGAGATACTTCTGTATTCATGTCTGTACTTGCTTCAAAGTACGTGTATCTGCAAACAAGAGTGGATATGGTTTGATGTAACTAAGTTTTTATGAGAGATTGCGCTGCAATTGTGGGCGTGTAGTTGTCCTAGTTTTCCAGTAGCTTTCATGAGTGAATATATCAATAATTTCATTACATTTAAGCCAGTTTAAAGGTGGAATCTTAACACGCATCAAAAATAAAAAATCGTTTAGATCTTGTAGAAAATTAAGAGATATAAGAACCGGAAAAAATAATTCTTAATTGCAATTTTTTTTTATTAAGTGGTGGTTTATTTTAATTATTCTGAGATTGATCAAAAATTTATTCTATGACATGATTTATAGGCAATGAAATAAATAATTAGGTCAATTTTTATTGAGTAGTAGTAGTGGTAGTAAAAATTCTAATTTTTTGAAATTTAAAATTATTTTAGATACAAAATTTTTACTTAAAATTATACAGAATATAATACTGAGAGTAAGATAATGAATTCGTCTTTATAATTAAAAAAATTTAATATAATAAATTAATTTTTAAATTGTATAAATTGGTTTAATAATAAGGAAAAGTAAAAAATTTAATAGCACACTCAGTATTTCATTTTTTATTTGAAATATCAATGATATGGAGACTATGTCCAAAGCATTTTTAAAAAATTCCACCTTTTCAAGCTATAATTCAATAACTTAGCGGTACACCTTTGGTGCTATAATCTTTCGAATTTCTCTCGCGTTTTATATTTTTTTTACGTTATAAAATGTTGACATGCCTTAATTGTCAAGAACTCGTTTTGTCTACATATAGGTTTAAACTATATTCGATCACTAAAAGTTCCCACTGCTCAAAATATTTGGTTCTAAATATTTACATAATTTGTAACTATTTTGGATGATTGGTTTAAAGTTGTTTTCATTATTTTTTCCAAATACTGAAAATGCAATAAATTACTAGATCTTTTCGTTTTTATAAAACCTATATATGAACGGATTGCTTCAATTCGATTGACCACATTTCTTGAAGATTCGCCAATCTGATTTAGTAACCAAACACAATTCAAATTATCTAAATAACTCGTTATCAGAAGTTAAGTGAGGTCTTATTACAGTGGATTATTCAAGTAATCGCAAACGCTGTTAAGTAAAGATACTAATTCGCATTTTATCAAGCAAAGAAACAAAAGACACAATTTAAAAAATATTGACACCTTAATTAATCCCTATATCTTTTTAATGGAGTTAATACCTGAACTTTTACGAAAATTACTGAAATTAATTTTTAAATAAAAGGTTTAATTCTTCCTCTAGTCTTAAAATTTGGAGTTTATTAATAATGTTAGATATAATATCCCCCGATTCCTATCTTGTTTTTAGATCTTTTAAAGCAATTAATGTAGTCTATCTCAATTCATATATATCACTATATTATTTGATTCAAGTAGGTTGAATTTAAGCTTTCTTGAGATAATCATTAGAAATGTATTTAATCTAACTGTTCTTACACAAATCACCAGTGATAGACATCGACTTAACACCGTCTAATAATAAAACATAATAATAAAAAATTCTATCATAAAAAATCATTTTCAATAAACTAAGATTGAAAGGTGTTTAGAGACCTCTTACAGAAAAATCGCTACATAAATTGCATCCATTACGATGCAGTCCTGGAGAATCGCTAGAATAAATTTACTAATATTGTGGAAGATAGTATTGGACAATAATCATTTACAAAAATTAATAGTTGGGTTCTGCGATTGCATAGAAGAATCTAGTATTTACTAAACATAATAACCACTTCCTTGTCTGACGTTATGGTATATTTATTTTTGCAGGAAAATGGGTATTTGTCTTGATTAGTCGGTAACATTAATAATCGATTATTATTAATTATTTAAAATGCATTAGATATTTATTGTATATACAATGAACATTATTAATACACATGTTTCTAAATATTTTAAATAAGCTTTTATATTGATATGAAGGCTCATAGGCAAAGATTATTCAAATTAATTTTTTAAAATAATTGCCACTGTGATTGTGTTCTAGGTGTTTGAAAAGAACATGAACTGAGTGCTTTTCTGATACAATAATACAAATTGTTTGAGAAAAGATACCAGGCACCAAACACTATCATACCCTGCATCGTAACCTCTACAAACTTCCTCATCCCTTCCTTAGTAAAAGCTGGCTTCAAGAATATTATAACTTCTTTTAAATACTCATTAGCTTTCTGCTTCAGGTATGTAATATCCGTCAAATTTTTTAATAATATGAGGACCTTTTTTTCTTCTTTATTTTGGAAAATTAAAAAATTCCGTGTCTGCGTACCACGGGTATTGAGTATTTTATGTTGTGTGATCTTCTTTACCCTAGATTGCTTGATTTCTTTCTTTACATAATCCTCAAAATTCTTAATAAATAAATCAATCATTAATGTTTTTTATATTGCTTAGTAGTTCCACAGATATTTAAATAATTAAAAATATTTTACCGCTTTAGGTACATGTGTGTTTTCCATCAGTTTCAATATTTTGTCTTTGTGAACATGCACCAATTCTGGCACTAAGGCCTTAAAACTTACAGTCTGCGTACTGCGATTAAGATATTTTTCAGGAATTAAACCTTTGCGTATGCGTTCTATCCGATCTTTTTCTAACTCTATTATTAAATATGATTTTTAAATTTAAATATATAATAAACTATTTTGTAATTTTATATTTCACGTACGTTTATCATTTGTATATTGAAATCTAAAAGACTTCTGTGATTGATCATCTAAAGAATTTTCAGAAAATCTTTTCTTAGGTCCTCGACGTTTAGCATAATAGTTTGTGTATTCGGTGAACGTGCTAATGTTGGTACTAATGTACGTATAATGAAGGAATAGGATATTATTAAAAAGTAATAGAAAAAGTTTGTAAGGGAAATTTACCGATTTGTAGAATCGGTGTCATATAAAGCAGACCGCGCACTTTCACTACCGAGAGACAAATAGCTGACACTACCGAAACTTCTATTACTTGCTTGTCCCCTTAAAACATTGATCTGTTTTAATGTTCCGAAAATTCAAAAATATAATGAAATTAGCTATGTTACCCAAAAATGCCCAAACGTTTGGATTTTTCTTCAATTTCAGTTTTCATAGCAAATAATTCTTCAAATTTGGCATTCATTCTACGATAGTTAAAGAAATTAAAATTTAATTCATATCGAAAATTGAAAGTTTATTAAAATTCAATAAACTTACTTTGCATCATCCAAATCTTGCCAATTAAAATGAGTGCTTTGCATTGCAATTATAAATATATTAATATAATAGTGCTAATGTTACAAAATAAAGATATATTGGATTAAAATAATTTTTCTGCACTATTATTATTTATTATTTTATATATAATTAATATATACAATTTTCAATGAAAAGATAATGGTTGCTAAGGTTACTTGAGTTGTCAACATATGAGTATTTTTTTATGTAAATATATACACTTTTCTAACTTTCCAACCCCACTCTAACAAACGTTAAGTCCACCTCAGGACGCACAGGAAGATATGCTGATCTACGGTCCGTCATCAGTTAGAAAATAAATAAATGATAATGATTCTAGTATAGTTAAAGTTTAGTGTGGGACAGGAATAAACCCCCAGCCACAATGGAGTAAAAGTGCGCAATAGCACTAACTCAAATCACAACAACAACAATAACAACAGATACAATAATTTATATGAGAGTACCTTTAAAATATTCGGTTTATTTTAATCATTTTTTAATATAAAAACATTTGCATAGGTTTTATCAAAAGATAACCAAGATCTTGCAGTTTACCAAGATCCTCATATAAGAAAGCTACTAAAATGTTAAAGTGGCGTCACGCATATGCTGCACAAAAACAAAGCATATGTGAGGCACTTTCTTCGATAGGAGGTACTTTCGTAATTTCAATTAATAAATAATATAAAGTTATATACTTATTAACATAACAGTCAAAGTTTCAAGAGTGGCGAAAGATTTATTCGACAACTGAAGAGAAGCCAGAGAACAAGCACTTCTCCGTCTCTGTCATTTATAACAATGCCACATCATTCCCCTTTATAACCGTGACCTTGGTCACATAATTTATCGCTAATCTTACAACCGCGCTTGCGTTATAAGCCCATCCCCTTCTTCATCACTCAATCTTCCTAAATTATGCCCCTGCTTTCTGGCTTAGATGAACCTAGCCCACTAAGTATTCTGTTCCAATCTCTCTCCCATGATTGCTGAAATGAAGTTCCGACGCTGCTGTGTAAATTTACTCCATTATTCCTAAGAGGTGGTTTTAGAGGGGTGGAGGCTTGCACTGTGGCTTTCAAAGCTTTCCACCTACTGCAAAAAAAAAAAACAAAAGGTTTCGAGAGCGGATGAATCGTTCTTCTGTTATGTTATAAGGAATACTCTCCAACTATCTCTCTTAACTATCTAATTCTTTTAAATTTTACTGTAATTATAAAATACATGTAATTAGTAATTTTATAAATTACTAAAGCTGTTTTGACATGAAAATATTTCGTGTTATAATTTCCTCGTACAAGAATCTCTAATTTTTACAGTTACTTCCTAAAATAGTTCTTTTCTTAATTGAAACTGTTTTTATCTAATGAACCTGACAGACATTAGCCAAAATGTCAACAGAAAAACGTCATTAGCAAAAAAAAAACAAAAACAAAAAACTATGAATTAAAATTAACTACATTTTCCATTATTTGGGTAACTCGGGCAAATGTCGTTTGTTGTAAGTTTTTGTTTAATTTTTTATTAGAGATTAATTTTTTATAAAACAAATTATACTTGTACCCAGCAGTTCTACAACAATTTTTGCACAGTAGCCACAGTTTAAAGCCATAACAAACAAGTCATTTTTATTCCCAACTTATAAGTCAAAGCCGTTTACAAGACGAGGGTGTGATCGCACAACAGATTATATTTGTATCTTTGCGTTCTAAATTGAACTCGACTTATATTAGGCAAACTAGACTTCATACAATAAAGTGAAATCGTTCAAAGAAAGCAAAAAAAAAAAAAGAAAAATGACGTTCCAACTGAAGTTGTTAACTTTACTAGCAATGAAGATGGCTATGCTCTGGTCCATAGATGTTCAATGAAACGGATGAAAAGTCAAATATCACAGAAACGAAACGATTGGGAAAGTATTTAAAGCTGGACAAATTGCAAGCCATAGGCCAAGTTGGTGGCAAATGTTTTTGTACGTCCTCGTTGTTGTTCGGTTTTTGTGTGCACTGGGAAGAGGAAATATTTTGTGTCATGGTAATTGCAACATCTTGTGGCAGACGTATTGACAACCACAGCGAAGAGTAAGTGAAAAACGAAGAACTGAAAATGACTTATTGTAAAGCTGCTGGGAAATCGATTGAAATCAACAGCATTTGGGGTAGAAAGTGAAAGACCTAATTTTTTTGATGCATTTTTTACAGAGTATTTCGTGTTTTTATTTGATTTAAAATTTTTTTACTTTATTTTCTTGATTTTCCAATTATTTTACATCTCAAAGAGCTGAGAACGAAGTATTCAAAGCAATGTAATTTATTTTTAAATCAGCAATGGAATGCAAAAATTATTCAAGGTAAATTTAAATTTATTAAGAAAATCGATTTGAAAATTTATTTATTTATTTAACATAGGACCAAAAAAATAACACTAGGTTACAAATAATTAAAAATTATTAATTGTTATTTATTTTTTTTTTTTCAAAATAGAGATAGATTGCGTCTAAGAAAATTTTTGACTGTATACTAGTCTTATTAAAAAGTAAAGACTAATTTATAATCAAAATATATACCAAAAATTGTAAACGAAAATAATTAATTCAAATTTTGAAAATGGTTTCAAGTTAAAGTTACATAGATCAAAAGTTGAAATCATTTAGAAATTAATTAATTAAAGTTAAAATTAATTAAAGCATAACAACTTTTTAAAGATTCGCAATAGATAAAATTAGGTTAAAAGTAACTAATGTATTTTTCAAGCAATTTGATATTATTATAATTTGGATAAGGGGTACTGCACTGTAACCAAAAAGATCTATTGTACTCCTAACTCGAATAGGAGTGTTTCTCTAAGGCCGATTTCTGTAATGAAAGACAGTATAGAACTTTAAATCACTATATTCCATAAAATAGCCTTCTAGGCGTATCTTCCGTTTAAGTGTCAGTGCAGGGTATTCCATTAGCACGTGGCCTGCGGTTTCTCTCTCTTCTCTACAGTCCAATAATTTATATGGGCTATAAACTGATTAAAAAAAAATTCTAAAGCTTCGTAAGATCAGTGATAATGCGTACTTGACAATACTTGAAACAGCGTTGTATGGTCAGTTAAATTTCAATAAATCAATAAAATTTTTGTTCTTGGCTTTTATTTTCTATTCAAACCATTCTAACTTTTAAAATAGCTTCTTTGCAAAAATAATTAACTTTAAATAATTGCTATATTTTTATACTCTTATACCATATATACTGGGCACATGTTTGTCTTTTATTAAATACACTTTAAATTTATAAAATTGAACAAATAAAATTTTTAATTGTTGTATATATATATATATACCTTTATATATACTCTGTATAATAGTATTTACTATACTAACTCAATGTCAAATTTTAATTACATTTAAATACTAACAAAAAATTTACTTCATAATTTATTTATATATTTTTAACACAATATTAATTTTCTAGCAAAATTTTAATTTATATTCTGAAGAATTCATTAAAACTGTGTATTAAATGACGGGCATTCCGCCCTGTAAAACTCAATGCGATTCTTAAACTGTTTCTGACTGTATAAGCAAACGAACTAAACAAGACCACAGAACACCCAAACACCAAATCCTTTCTTTTCAATATCCATTGCTTCAACGTTTCCTTGACTACAACTTGTCTGTTTGTTATATCTTCACTATAATAAAATAGGTAACGTATCCGAACTATATCTGGCAAAGTGATAAAAATACGTGCACACTGCGATTCGCCATCAAAGGTACTTTTTATGTATTCTTCACGATTAATAAATTCACAAAAACATACAACTCTGTAAATCTGACCACAGCAAGATTTCTCCCAACATTGTTTTCGCGGTTGATCTTTCAAAATAATTGAGAGTTCGTTTACCAAATGCATTCTATTGGTGGTAGCATTGTAAACCGATTTAAATCCGAAACATAAAATTGAAAACAAAGTGTCAACATCACAACCTATGAAGGCATATTTAGTACCATAGATCTGGCTTCTCTCCCTGAAAACCTTTTCTTCTGTCGAGTCGGTGGGGTAATTTAGTTTGAAGGCATGCAAAGGGATTTGAATTTCACTATTCTGTTGTATGGTCGCCATAATTTCTAAAAATGCATTACTCCTTAACTCGCTTAACTTTGGTCCATTGAAATCAATCAAAATCCAATGTAAAAGCTTAATAACAGATTTCTCACAGCATAAGTAATTTTTATTGTTGAATTCAGTGCGTAAGCTACGAAAGTTCGGAGTCTCACTTATTAAGATCAATAACTGTTCAATATTTCCAATGAATTTTGGTAGATTCGATAAAACAGTTTCGTTTTGGGAGTAGTTCTTTACAGCGGCAACAAAAATACACCAAAGAGCATCGCACGCAATTAAATCACTTATAAGTATACGTTCCAACTGTTTAATTTTTTTTAAATATTGTACAGGAGTATCCACTTTACCATCTTCATCGTAGCGTATATATGCTTGACATATGCCTCTTTTTGTAAGGTAGTTTTCTATTCCTTCTAAAACTTTGAAATGCCTTTCCGTCATATTTTGTATATGAATTAAAAAATATATATATGTTAAATTTAGGGTGACTTGGAAGTCAAGTCACTAACAATATATGAGAGAAAATAAAAATTTTGAAAATTAAAAATTTATTGAATATAGATTTATATTTCAAAATATCAAAAAATCATTACATACTTCAGTTCTTAATCTTTTCCTGGTAATAACTTACTATGTGAATTTAAAAAAAATCTAAAAATTCTCATTAAATAAAGCTTTACTGTTTTAGAGAAACATAGATTCTACTCTAAACACTTTTGCATGCATTATTAAACAAATTTTATTCATTCCATTTGAAGCAACTCCATGGTTTTTCAACGTTTTGACAACTTCTCCAGAAATCTTTAATAGTCCATTAATTCGATGTTTTGGTTTCTTCATTTCAGTGAATACTTCTAACGAAAAGACACTGGTGAATTATACAAAACAGTATGTTTTACATAGTTCTAATCTAAACTACCATCTCTCTGCTTTGAAGTGTTTCAAGAACGAATAATGTTTTTGGATTGTATT